TTTGGTTTGAGAATGGCATTTTGAAACCTGTCATGCGCGTGGACTTACACCCATTTGTGCACATGTGTTTACACATTATGACATACACGTACGAAGGACGCATACACTGCAACCTCGTCTCCTTTGCAACTGCCGCCATAGTGACTGCAGCTTCTTTGCGGCCCATCGGTGGGCAAGGCTGGGGGGTGCTTGACTTGAGCGCAAAGCCACACGAGCAAGGTACTGCATGCGCTCGAGAAGGCTGAAACGTCCGTGTAGCACAGCGTGGGAGCGTTCGACCAGCGGCCAAGATGCCCGACGTTGTCTGAAATTTTCCAGCGTTTCCGTCAAGTTGAAGGCTTTCGGGCCTACTGGGACCCATTCTGCAGGTTTCTAGGGCTATACAGCCTGCAAAAAACTTTCTAAACATGCTTCGTCATCTCTCCATGCGCAATAACGCTGCTTTGCAGTCGGAAAATCGCAAGGTTTGTCTGGATAAGAAACTGAGAACCTGCTGCCGGCTACCGGCGTCGGTGTATGTCACGATCTTTCTTGGCCATGGACTTCTGCTTCTCTGCCGCACGCTTCTCTTGCACTGACATCTCGAGCGGCGACTGCACACTCAAGACAGTTTTCTTTTGAATGCCGGTCTTCTGGCTCTTCATGCTGTACCGACGCGCCACTACCTCACGCATTGCTTGCACGCCTTCCTGAAACTTTGTGCAGTTCAAATTCAAATCTGGCGTAATTTTCACACCAGCTTGTGGTCTTCGTGGGTGAGTAATGATCTCCCATGAAATGCCATAAGTTTTGCCAAGCTGGTCTAGGACATCGCTTGGCACGCTCTGTTGCAACTTCCATTTGGCCTGCTGCAATCTCTTACGGGGATCGGGTTCGTCATCCTTTTTCACCGCGGCGGTTTTCTGCCAGAGGAGAACTTGTTTGGGGGCTGCCTCCCCTGCGCGCCTGGCCAGTTTGGCGTTGATAAACTGGGCGGGCATGGTCTGTGCTTGAAACTCCCTGAAATCACTCCGCACACGAACGAACAAGCCATCATTTGTGGTAGAAAACGACCTTTCCCACTTCGTGAGCCCACCATCACCTTCTCTCTGTAGGTATGGATCGTCTAAACCAACGACGACAATGTGGATCAAATGAAGACAACCCATTTGTTCCAGGACTCGAGCAACAAATAGCCGCCTGTTGTTAATAGAGAACAGCTTGTCGCGGAACCTTGTGCACAGGATGCTTGGGAAATCATCGAAAGCCTTGTCGCCATTGATAATGTCACGAACTGCATCGTCAATCAACGTGCCGGACCGGAACTTGGACGAAATGTTGTCGTGGGTGAAAAACACCTGGCTGGTTTTCAAAATTATGGTCCCTTTTGGGNNTATAATAAGGACCCCAAAAGGGACAATAATTTTGACAACCACTCACCTTAGAAGGTGCAAGATCGATCTCTTCTTGCCGGGAAGCCGAGCCTGGACTTTGAGATGGCCAGGGTAGAAACTCTATAATATACTTTTATCTCACAGTGGTCCATTTAAGGAACAGGTCCACAAACCCTAAACCCTAAACCCTAAACCCCAAGCCCTAAACCCGAAGTATGAAAGTATGGTACTCCAGAACCGAGGAACTTCCTCCGCAGCATCTGCCTCCTCCTCCTCCTCCGACTCTCCTCTGGTTTCCTGTTGGGGCTATATTAAGAGTGATCATTTTTAATCCTTAATAGACTTAATAGGTTTTACTATAACAAAAATGTAAAATTGTAGCCAACAAGGACCCAGTCCTCGGGCTCCTGGTCTGAATCGCTCTCCACCGAAAGCTCCTCGACCTGCCAGGTGTCCTCTTCGCTTTCGGCCATGTGGGTAGGAAGCGAAAGCTCAGAAATACTGAGACTCCGCCCAAAACCCTAAACCCCTAAGCTTGGAAAAGAAATGCTCCGGGAACGGACATTGTGCAACACTGCCAATTTGATAGCACAGTAGGGATCTCCCCTCCCGGAAGCGAAAACCCTATAAACCTTAAACCCCAGGCCCAAACCCTAAACCCTGCTGAACTCCGGATCCCAGCCTATCTCTCACAATTGGAGTACCCACAGGCCCTAAAGTAGTTCCTTTTTGGGGGTTCATATTTAGAATCCTATCAGGGAATCCCAAAAAGGAACTGCTATGGGCCTATAGGTAAGACTGAAACATGCTGAGAAAGATTGCGACGAGGCTACTTCGGGTCTTGCCCTTCTGCTCAAGGCAAGGTCAGATCTAAGTACTCTCTGGCGGCTTGGGGTTTAGGGTTTAGGGTTCAGGGTTTAGGGTTTAGGGTATAGGGTTCAGGGTTCAGGGTACAAATTCCAACTCCACCCCTTCAAGGGGTTCGATTCTACTGTACTCAAAGCTTCATGCGGGTGGGCCTGGGATTCACGCCGTCGCATAAAACTCCAGACAAACCCAACAGACCCGACGACCCCACACTCCCACACCCTCAAACTGAAAACACCCTACAGGTCCATGTAACCAAATAGTATATACTGTGGCCTTAATGCAGTCCCTATGTAGGTACTTTAGGTCCAACGTGGATACTAGTTGGGTACATGGACCCTAGGGGACACTAAAAGAACACCCAAAACCCTAAACCCTAAACCCCTAAACCCAACCCCAAATCCCTAAACCCTAAAGCCCAGCCTAAAGCCCTAAACCCTAAAGCCCGAAACCCTAAAGCCCTAAAGCCCTGAAGCCTAAACCCTTTAAAACCTAAGTCTTTAAATCCTTACACCACGCCGGCAGGTTCCGAGTCTATGGCACCGAGATGGGCGGCGATGGTGCGCAAAATCTGGCCTCTGTTAAACCTTTAAGGCTTTAGGGTTTAGAATTTAGGGTTTAGGGCTCTAGGGTTTAGGAGGCTTTAGGGATTAGGATCTATAAGGTTCAGGGTTTAAGGCTTTAGGGTTTTTGAGGCTTCAGGGTCTTAGGGTTTTGGTGCTTTAGTGCTTTAGGATTTTGGGGGCTCTAAAGTCTGAGGATTTTACATGTTTTGGGGCTTTAAGAATTTTAGGATCTTCCGTGGCTTAAGGGATTGGGGTCTTAGGACGTTGGGGCTTTTGGGCTTTAGGGCCTCGGGGTTTGGGGTTTTGGGTTTGGAATATTTTGTCGCTTGGTTTGTAGGCCGGTTTAGGGTTTATAGGGTTCAGGTTCAGGTTTGATATAGATACCCATAGGCCCTAAAATAGTTCCTTTTGAGGGTTCATATTTAGAATCCTTTTAGGGAATCCCAAAAAGGAACTACTATGGGGCCTATAGGTAAGGTAGTCTACTGTTGCGGTATGGGCCGTAGTGTAGCGGTGCAGGGCTGGGGCTCGGGGTTTGGTGTACAAGTGTCGGGTTTAGGAGCTACGGTTCCCCTAAACCCTACACCCCAAAACGCTAATCCCTAATCCCGAAACCCTAAACCCTAAACCCTAATCCCGAAACCCTAACCCCTAAACCCTGATTCTGGCTTCGAGCTGCCGTCCGGGTTTTGACTTGTCTTACAGTAGTACAAGGCGGCATTACGACAACACCTGCTCCTGGAATGGTGGTGAAGGCAATGAGTCTTCGTCGCATTGATATTGGAGTTGTCACATTCCGAGAAAAACTGTCTAGATTGAGAGAACAGTATCAAGTTGTAGCATTGGTAGTCGTCGTGGTGGTCGTGGTGGGGGTGGCGGTGGTAGGTGCAACAGTGATCAGAGTACCAGCGCTACTGCTACTGTTTCTGCTAGCGCTGGGGCTAGCAAGAGGTGGGGCTGGTAGTGGTAGTTAATGGTAGTCGCGGCCGTAACAGCAAAGTGTCCAGTAGGATGGAGTTCGTTTGTGGGAATGCTAGTATGACATACCTTGCTGTAGACGTTGCCGTATGCATCTTACAGCCCAACATGAAAAACGAATCCGGTTGCCTGCAGAGGTGGGCTGGCATGCGGCCTGTGACAAGCAGCGGCAGGCTTGCATGCGGTGCGGCTTTCCTTTGGCTTCCTTTACAGGCTGAGTAAATGTTGCGCGAGAAGCGATGATGGACGGCTACCATGGAATCTAGAAGGCAGGGCTGTCCCGACCCACCAATTGAACAAGGTGTATTGGGCAAAAAGCGGGGTTGAAATGGCCGAACTATGACGCTGATGATGCTCGTTCAACCAGGTTGAAACAGCTGGCACGTGCGCCAGTACGGCTCCTGATATCGGCGACAAGGGCCGGAGGCTCAAACAGCAGGCAACTGACGCTCATGATGCTCGCAGTGCGGGCCAGATGTGATGAAACGGATGGCAGCTGATGCTCATGATGTCCGTGCAGCTGGCCGGAAGTAGATGGCAACCGATGCCCATAGCATTCGCTTATCCGGGCCGGGGCTTGCCACGGCATGGCACCTCATGCTCATGATGTCCGTGCAAAACGTCTCACAAATTCTTGATGCCCACGATGATTGCAGCTGGCAGAAGCGGATGGCAGCTGATGCTCATGATGCCTGCTCACCGGCCAAGCAGCAGGCAACTGATGCTGATGATGTTCGCTGTGTGGGGCACATTGGTTGAGACGGATGGCAGATGATGGCAGCTGATTCTCAGTTCAATGGGGTAAACGGCTTGCAATCGATGCCTATGATGTTCGCTTGCCGAAGGGCTTGACGCGCATGGCAACTTATGCTCATGATGTCGGTGCAAAGGGCTCCGAGGTTGAAACAAACGGCATCTGATGCTCGTGATGCTGTCAACGGTACTGGAAGCATAGGCGCTGATGCTGGCGGTGGAAACTCTTGGCATCATCTTCTGTGGTTGCTGAAGTATATGGCTTTGGGCAGTGAGACACGTGCTTGGCTCATTATGCTCAGCTGCTGGTGATGAAAAGCTCTGACCCGGAGTTAAGGTTTAGGGCTTCAGGCTGAAGGCTTCTTGTACAGGCCTTATCTACATGTATATTATAAAAGACTTCTCTTCAACTGCTGGTGCCTGGGGATAAGCAGTGAGGACAATCTGAGGTTGAGGATTTTTTTTTCATGGGGTTTAGGGTCAGGTAGATCTGTGAGTATAGGTATGATCTGCAAGCGTTCACGGCTGATCCGACTGTTAGCATGCCGTGTGGAAGTGACGACTGTACACTTTTATCGGTGGATCAAGCCAGCAAGCCAGGGTGTCTTGAAGAGTGAAGACACGAATCCAAAGACTTCCGAGGCCACTTTTTGGGACGCCATGCTACGCAATCCTGAAGAGCCCTGAAACCCGCCACTCACCTACCAGAATGTTTAGGTTTTAGGGACCAATCTCCCGTCAACCCTAAGGGTCCATGTGCCCAAATCGTATATACATTGGCCCCAAAGTACTTACATAGGGACTCCTTTAAGGCCAAAGTAGCTCTATTTGGGTACATGGACCCTTAGGGTTTCATAAACCCGAACGGCCCAATCCTACACCACCCTACCAAGCCTGATGTGCTGGCCAGACAGACCAGAAGCCGTGATCTGGGAGCCCCCGCTTAGGCTTAGCGTGTACGTTTTGGGGCTTATGGGGCGTTTAGGGTTTAGGATTTTGGGTTTAAGGTTAGGGCTTATAGGGCGTGGGCTTATGGGCTTAGGCCAAGTGAAGTAGCTGTTCACATTGCAAACCTGAGTTCTGCTGCAGACATTGGCAGCTGAGCTGCTGAAGTAAGGCTTGCTATGCAAGGCCCATTAGTTCCTTACATTGCGCAGACTCCCTACATACCTCCATTGTGCTATAACCACCAAGCCCGGCTCTGGGGATACACACGGTGCATTGATCAATGCTTCTGCTGCAACAAGGGTTTGTAGGAGCAAGATCCAAAGCTCATCATGCCAAGCCCCTATTGCCACTGCTACATGGCTTTCTTGCAGTCGCGGTGTACCGTACTTGTGCTGAACAGTTGTTGGTGCTGCTGCTACCAGTATTGCCATTGTGGCAACTTTCACTACGATGTCACAGCGCAAGTTGTGTTGAGTCCGTTTTTCCAACGAAACATGGTAGTTTTCAAGCTTTATTCAGTTGAAATGGCCTGCAGACACGAACGAAATATGCAAAGCTTGCTTGGTTCGGACAATCCGACAAATGTTTGAGTTCCGCATTCTAAGGCCAGAAACCCTGTCCCATACTAAGGCTTACATGAGTTTCGCTGCATCAAAGCATCTT